ATCTTTAAGACGGTTATTTTGCATCCTCTTTGAGCTAAATAATTTATCTCTGATTCATTAGGGTCAGTTTTTAGAGATTTTGTTCCTTTGGATGGAACATATTTCTCCATTTTTCCTGACGCTTTTTGTTGGTATCAGCACATTCGAAAAAACAACCACTTCTCACAGTCTCCACAGCCTGGACTTATATAGGAGAAAACTTATACCAATCAGTCTGGGCAATGTTCTGGGGGCTCTCAAATCTTTGTGCTAGTTCAAATCACCATTTTTGTCCTGAGTAGGCCCTAAGTGTCTAGAGTATCATAGCAACATCATTGCTCTAAGATGGGTGTGACAGAAGACAGTCTTTTAGACAACCCCCAGAAAAGCTGGAATATTGAATGTGTGATCCTATTCTTTCCTTCCAGGGAAAAGCTAAGATCTGGGGTTTTTCATCTGCTTACTTTGTTCTGAGCCAAGGAGAAGGACTATGATGAGTTACTTGTATGCTGGTTCCACCTGCCATCATTGTTCTTAGTGTCCTCTTGATGTCTATAGTATGCCCAGTTCCATCTGCACTCTGAGACAGGCAAGACAAAGCCAGTATCTTGGGAAGTCCTCAGAAAAGTTGGAATGTGGACACATAGTCTGACTCTTTCATCCCCAGGGAAAATCTGGGAGATGGGGGATTCCCTCTGATCACAAGATCCTATGCCAGGGCAGGAATTACACTGACAGGGTATCTAGAACTTTCCTACCAGCACTGATGTGGCTGGTTTCACATCTACCCAGGGTGCAGGAGCCTTTCAACTAGTTTCTGGATTTCTCACAAAAGGAATATGTTTGTATATTGCTGAAGGAAGGCCCAGGGCTTCCTATTCCTTCTTGCTGACATCACCTCTTCTTTTTTTTAAGATATGAGTTTTATCAACTTTTCTCTTTTGTAGGAATAGTCTAAGCTCTCAAGACTGTCCCTTATCTTCCAAGGGAAAGCAAAAGGACTGTAAGGGACCAACAGAAATCCACATTTAATAATATTACAACTTTTAATCATATATATCACATATATATATTATTTGTACCTATAAGATAATAATGCACATTATGAATCATAACAGTCTTAATAACTTTTTTAAAATTATATAGTACCATTATTAAAAAGAAGAAGAAGATAGCAGGAGGGGAAGAATGAAGGGGAATAAGTCGGAGGGGGAGACGAACCATGAGAGACGATGGACTCTGAAAAACAAACTGAGGGTTCTAGAGGGGAGGGGGTGAGGGGATAGGTTAGCCTGGTGATGGGTATTAAAGAGGGCACATTCTGCGTGGAGCACTGGGTGTTATGCACAAACAATGAATCATGGAACACTACATCAAAAACTAATGATGTAATGTATGGTGATTAACATAACAATAAAAATTTTTAAAAAAATTATATAGTACCATTATTAAAGATATTCAACAGATTTTAAACCTTTGAAGAGTTTTCTTCCATAGAGACTTGCACTATCATGTTAAGAAATATAGTATTAGCTTTGAGTGTGTTTTTGAATTCAGTAACTATCCTTGCTAACATGTCCTCATGCTAGCTATCTTGATTTCTACATCTGCCTAGTCTGATTCTCCCTGAAACTTTGCCATCTAAATAGAACCCCATTTACCTAGTTTTGAGACCCAAAACCTGTAAGTCAAGGATGATTCTTTCTTGCATTTCCACATCCAATTCACTAGCATGTCAGATCTGACCCATCCTCAAAATACAGTTTGAATCCAACCATTTCATACCAACTGGCTCACATTGAGTCATGTCCTACCCCGTCACCTAGATTATTGAAATAGTTTTGGGGCACCTGGTTGGCTCAGTTGGTTAAGCATTTGCCTTTGGCTCAGATTGTGATCCCCTGGTCCTGGGATTGAGCCCTGCATCGAACAGGGCTCCCTGCTCAGTGGAGAGCCCGCTTCTCCCTCTGCCTACTGCTCCTCCCCTGCTTGTGCTCTTCTCTCTCTCTGACAAATAAATAAAATCTTAAAAAAAAATAGTTTCTAACTCAGTGGCTTTTTTTGACCATGACACAGCAAATATTTTATATTTCAACCAGGTACACACATACACATAGCTGAATTAATATTTTTATGAAATATTACTATATGAAATACACTGATATTTTATATTTATTTTTTAAAATGACTTATAATCTGATAAATTGGTTTCAAGATCTCTCATTGGTGATCGGTTATTGAAGAAACTCTTCTCACTGGTGTCACTGTTTTCACTTTCTCCCTCTATAGACAATGCTCTACCAGCAGCTAGAATAATCTTTCAAAATATGTCATATTACTTCCCTGTTTATAACCCTCTGATTGCTTCTCATCTACTTAGAATAAAATGCCAATCCCTAAGCATGAACTGCAACGCTGTGAACCTAACTCCTGCCTATATCTCTAACTTCATCTCCTACCATTGCCTAGCACTCACTCCATCCCAGCCATGCCACCCTCTTGCTGCTGCTCAAATATACCAAGCTGATTAAAACCTCACGGCCTTTGCACTAGCTAATTCCTCTGGCTAGAACCCTTCCCAGATCATCTTTTAGCTTACTCTCTCACTTCAGCAATTCCTTAAATTTATCAATCACAGACAGGCCTTTCCTGGCCATTCTTCCTAAAATTAGGGCTTCCTGCCCCATCATTCTTGGTCTTCTTATCCTCCTTTAATTTTTATATCACTTACCACTCCCTGTCATTATCTTATATAGTTATATGTTTATTTGTTTACTGTCTGTGTCTAACTAATAGATATTAGTTTCATGGACGCAGAGGTTTTGGTCTTATTTAATTTTTTAGCACCTAGAAAAAAAAACTGGCAAAAGCTAGCACTTGGGTGTTGCATAAATGATATTTTTTTTCTCACTGAGACCTTCAAGAGCAGTTTTTTCTTTCACTGCCTCTCCTTGACTCACTCAGTTCTTTCCATTCCTTAGCACTGGAGCCTATTTATCTTGCAACAGAATGAAAGCCTTCTCTTTCTCAGTAAACAGGCCCTAAAAGTTTACCTTTAATAAATATTTCCTACTTCATCTAAACATAGAATTCTTATTCTCATCCCCCCAAAATATATATATATTTTAAGTAGGCTCCACACCCAGCATGGAGTCCAACACAGGGCTTGAACTTATGACCCTGAGGTCAAGACCTGAAGTAAGATCAGGAGTGATCAAGAGTTGGACACTTAACCAACTGAGCCACCCAGGCACCCCACTCCATTTATATTCTTATTCATAGTTAAAACTGATAGCCAAATCATTTTGTCTGTAGCCACTAAATGGTTTTGTCTGTTTTAAATTATATCCAGAAGGCAGGGGCTTAACCATCCTTACAGTGATTAGTATCTTGCCCAATGCCAGGTTCCCAGAATATTTTTAATGAATATTTTATTCAGTTTTAACAAGCAGATGGTGGGGGATTATGAGTTGAAAGAACATAGGTTTTGAAGTTGCACACATCTAGGTCTGCTCCCAGCTATCACTTAATCCCTCTTGGGTAACCTTGGGTAAGTCACTGAACCTCTCTGGAGATAAAAGTATGTCAAATTTTTAGCACTACCTCCAACACAGTAAGCTCTCAACAAATTGCACCTACTGTTACTTAATTGGACTGCTTGTGTGTCTTGTAGAATAATACAGAAGATTCACTTACTCAGAAATGACTCTAATGCAGGCTTCTCTCCAAATAGTTCTTTGTTGCTAACTAGAAGAATTTCAGTGCTCCCTTTTGTGGAGATGGTATCCATGTAAGGAAGCTGCATATCCACTTAACCCACACCTTTACCACTATGGGGAAGTCTGGGTTCCCTGCTTCTTAGAGAAAGCAGATCATTTTCTTGAAATTTCCTTTTGGTATTAACCTCTCTTTGGTATCTAGTTTTCTTAGGGGAATAAAATAGTTTCTTCTGGCTACTTTCTTTAAGCAACTTTTGTCTCTACATTTTTTTAATGGTTTTTTTTTTATTTAATTTTTTACTTGAGAGAGAGGGTGAGCGAGAATAAGAGAACACAAGGAGGAGGAAGGGCAGAGGGAGAAGCAGACTCCCAGCTGAGCAGGGAGCCCAATGTGGGACTTGATCCTCGAACTCGATCCTGAGACTCCGGGATCATGACCTGAGCTGAAGGCAGATGCTTAATTGACTGAGCCACCCAGGTGCCCTGATTTTTTTGGTTTTTGTTTGTTTGTTTGTTTTTGTTTTTTACTTTACTCAAATTCAGTATACACCCATGTTCATTCACTCACTGAAAAAGCATTTCTTAAGGGAATGCTTAGTATGGTACTAGCAGCTATATAAATAGTGGTCAATAAAAGATAAAATAGCTGTCCTTGTTTAGTATGTGGTTTACAGAGTATACAGATTTCAAGAATTTCCCCACAGTCACAAGAATTAAGGTAGAGGAACAGTAAGATAGTATTATTTTACATTTAGAGTCCTCTATTCCCCGACTTCTTTTCCTTGAAATTTAATTGACTAGTCCTAGTGCCCAATGCAATACATTGTGTACTGAGGCAGGAAATGAAGCCCAATGGGATAGGAGTCAATAGACTCAGCAAATTCTTCCATTAATAAATCACTTCATACTTTCCGTTAATAACTCTTGGGTTTTGATCAATTCACTTTATATCCTTATGCCTCAGTTCTCTATAAAATTATAAGATTTTACTAAATGTTCTCTAAAGTCCTTTCTGGTTAAAAGAATTCTATACTCTGTAATTCCAACTGCCTTCTTTAGGGAAAATAACTCATTATACAGGGTTTCCACAAATTTTAAAGTTCACTATTTGCAATTTTGAACATATAAGTCAATTTCACACTATTTCAGAATTCAAAATTATCAGACAAAATGCCTTCTTTGAAAAAGTATCATCTGAAATCAATGTATACAACTTGAAAAAAGTAAACTGGATGCTATGGTACAATCACAAATGTGTCATGTATATAAAGCATGGGTTTCTTAAATATAAATGACCATCACCTGGAGAGAAATTCTTTTCTGAAATAAAAATATTCCAGCCTGAATCTCTTCAAAATCTCTATTAGTTTGACAAATTCTTTATCAAGAGATTCTTTGTGGTTTCCCAAGCCGTTTGGCATTAATATGCAAAGACTTAGTTTCTCTTCCATTATATATTTGAATTCCTACAAGAAAAGTCACAAAACAAACTCTACTATTCCAGTGTTAAATATAAATAAATGGTAGGCAATACAAAATGTTATGGTCATCCTATCTCAATAGTATTCATCGTTATTAAACCCGAAAATTCTAATTGAACAGATACCAATTCTCCATTGCCCAAAGATTGATTATTCTTTGAAATGATTATCTCAATTTAACAAGTACATATTGTATGCCTGTTATGTGCCTAAAATTGCGTTTTTTTTTAATATAAGTGGTCCCTGACCATTTATTTCATCAAACATCACAACTGCTTTAGAATAGGATGAGACAAGGAAATGCAATAAAAATCAATATTTGTTGATTAACATATGCAAAAGCAGTTTTTAAAAAAGTGCTTGTCAAAGGAGTTGAAATTAATATTCCAGAGTCTTCAGAGTTTGCTTCTTGCTTTAGCTTAACTTAGGAAGCTAATGGATATCAGAAAGTTGTTTGGCAGTCAAGAACTAGAGATAAGTAATTGATAAATTAAAGAAATTTCATCTTATATGCCTCCTTTATAACAAAACTGGAAATAGCTACCTAAGTTGTCATGTTCTGCCAATTTCTGGGATAATAAAATTGTCAGAATTTCAGGAATAACATTCCTTTGCACAATAATCATTCTATCAAATTTAGAGAATTTTAATAGGTCAAGGAAAAATCCAAGATTAGACTAGCAATTGTCACAGGATTCAAATAAAATACTTTTTTATTAAATCATTTTCTTTATTGTCTCTTTAACACATCACATGCCCTCACTCTCACTTTCCTCCTGACGTGCACATACACTTACCCTCACAGTCACACACTTATCCTCACCGTCACGCACAGTTGCTCTCACCCTCAAGTTCACGCACACTTATTCTCACCCTCACAGTCCCACACACTTACCTTCACCCTCACCTTCACATTCTTACTCTCACCCACATGCACACACTCACACACATCCGCAGACATACACTCCATACACATCAACAGACCGAGATAGCAGAAGACTATAATAAAGTCTTAGAAATGGTACTGCACATAATAAGTATTACCTGGGTTAAGAAAGCAGAAGAAAAACCAGGAAAATCACAAAATATAAAACACTTACAGTAAGCTTGTTCTCCCACTTTTCTTTCACAGTAATTTCTGGATCAGTTACCCACTGTAGCGAGCTATCCATGATGGTTTCATCTTCAGAAACTTCTTCATGCTGAAAAAGTTCCACATGTTCAACTAGGAATTCAGGTGAAAGGCATAGGCTATTATATAAGAAGTAATTTAGACCAAAGGTCTACTATATAGATAATTAAGACACCATACAGAATTCCTTCTCATTTAACGCCACCCCATGACTTTCCTTTATCCCAGGGTGTCGCCATGCCTAATGCCAACTCTTGTCAGGTGCTCCATATATGCTGAATATATACAGATAGAATTGTTTCTCAAAACAAAATGTACCCATTTTTATGCCCCTCTAAAATAGGAAACAAGCATTTTCATGGATTTTTTTTACTCATTAAACTAAATACTACCTATCATATGCTAGGCACTGTGAAAGGGACTGGAAATACCAACATGAATATGTTCTCTGCTTTCTCTAATCATCTTGTTTCCAGTCAAAAATCAAAATAGAGTAAGAGGTACTAGCTACTAGCCAGAAAGAAACTGTTTAATAGATACCATGTCTTTAGTCCTCTGATACTACAGATTAACCTATAGGAAAAATAAGCCCAAACAATTCATATCTAATGATCATGAGGTTGAACTGACTGAGCCAGAACTAGAAAATCAACCTCAAGAAGGTTTTAGAAAAATCTTTTTTCATAGTAGGAATAATTTGGGTCTCGACAAAACACAGATATGCCTGGACTCAGCAAAGAGGATGTAGATCAGTTATCTGCAGACGTTCCTAGCCAGTGAATCACCACAGTACATATGTTATACAATTCCAGCTTTTGAAGCATAGCTGTGAATTTCACTCCCTTTTGTTCAAATGTTCTCAGTAATAGCAGCATTTCTTGGTCCATCATTATATCCAGAGATGACAAGTTGATTAAACTGCACTGCCACCCAGTTTCATCGTTCTGAAACAATTATTAAAATGTCCACAACTCTGTCATTCTAATAAAGAACAGTATTTTTATTTTATGAAAATGATGCTCATGGGTCAATATAACTGTCCAATGGTTTACATTTTCTCTCTAGGATGACTTCAACTTAACATTTATTCATTCTTAAGGAAAAGCATTTATCCAATAGATAACATGTACATGTGGGTAATATAAACTGCTACGGTTCTCTTTTTATGAAAATAGGGGAAGGTAAAGAAATTCATAGGAAAAAAAAAAACTGTTGGGAGGGTGGTCAACAGATCCCACTGATAACAGACTAGTTTCTTTTGTCTCTCCCTCCCAATAATGTTTACCAAAGGATATTCTTACAGTTCTCTCAAAGCATCCATCTCTGACATATTTTAGATAAATGGCAACACCACATTTAACTTCCTTTTTGTTGTCTATTAGAAAACATTTATAGAGCTCTTATTTCTAGACTCCAATTAGAAGGCAAAGTTCCTAATCCGTTAATGGGATAAACCCCAGAGCCAGAACTTTGCCAGCGGCTTAACCCCTGCTGAGAAGTGTAGACCTTTACAGGCTGGTATCTTGACATCATGATGCTCTCAGAGGACTGCTGTGGCAGATTTGTCACCATTTCATTCAGTCTGGCAGTTTGGCTTGGTTTCAAAAACTCAGTCAGATGATGAGTATTTGAAACAGTATGTCAGGAAAGCATAGCCCTCAGCAGAATGGCCAAGGCTGCCCGAGACAGCTTTAGATGAATGCAGCATATGTTGCCCCTGCATCCTTGGCAGGAGAAATTCAAACAGCATTAGCCCCAAAGACATTCTTCCTCTCCTTTCAAGGTCACATCACAGCTGTCAAGAGGAGAACGTTCTGACATTTCTATTGTCCACAGACAGGGAGAGCCCCTCAAAATGGTGAAAAGAAAGCAGTTTGCTAATAAAGCTTTTCCTAAGATAACAAGCACAAACTGGAAAGCACAAAGGAGAGAAAACAGAGTATTGGGGGGAATCCCCAACATTTCATCCGCACGAAGGCTTTTGATTATTTCCTCCCATGCTGTAAAAAACTGATTCTACCTAACAAAGATTTAAGTAATAATTCATTTGCCTTTTAAAATTAACCAAAACACGAACATTCTAATTCTGTTCAGAATGTAATAATCAGTGCCGTTACACTGGGTTGCTACAATTACATTTTAGAGCAGAGAAGTTTCATGTTGTTTCTAAGCATCTTTATTTTTGGCAGATACATTTGCTTTGGGGGTTTAGGAAAATACTGAAAAATGGTTCATGGAGCTCTATTGTTACCTTTAGGACCCCAGGCTGGGGATCAGCACAGGTACTTTCTCCTAAAAAATATGAAGAATATAAAGATTTCTAAAGTCTGGATTCACTGAACACATGCTTCTTCAACCCTAGTCTTGAGCCTCACTATGGTTTTCAGCATAATTTGAAAAAGGTCCATTTTTTTTTCCAGGCTAAGAGACCTTAGACTTGGATTTTAAAAACAATCAACAGATTCCTCAAAATGTCACAGTCACTCTTCAGCAAGCTTGGGCCTTCATCTAATAGAAAACTATTGCATATGGTCTTATTGTTTCAAGCTTTCCGTTTGGGATTACTTACCTCTGCAGACTGAGCAAGAATGAGTTCACAATGTAAAGATTTTTCTTCTTCAGAGATGATTCTATTACACTCTCCACTAATATTCAACTGGATCCCATTTCTTGAAAAAACAAAAGCAATAGTCTAGTCTGGTTAGATGTGACTATGCTATAAGTCACCAAAATGCAGTTTATCTCTAAACACAGTAAGCCCTCATGTGTGCCAAGGATTGTATAAGGTACTCAGTGAGAGAGAGAGAAATAACAGATAGTCTTTATCCTCCAGGAGCTGCACAGATTAGTGACGGACTCTATGTGGTTGTAAACAGGTAGGTCATGCTTTTTTTTTTTTTTAAAGAACTGGAGCCAATAATTAAAAATTAGTAAATTTCACTGAAAATCTAGAATTCTGGCTTTTCTTTAAAAAATCAAAAGATGCAGCTGCACTGGGCCCATATATTCTTTCTAAGATTCATTTATTTGAGAGAGAGTGTGAGCGAGTGAGCATGCACAAGCAGGGGGAGGGGCAGAGGGAGAGGGGAAGAATCTCAAGTAGACTCCCTGCTGAGCTAGAACCCAGACCCCAAGATCATGACCTGATCAGAAATCAAGAGTCAGACACCCAACCAGCTGAACCACCCAGGTGCCCTGAGCCCATACACTCTTGATTAGTTGGCTTCATCTGGCTAATTCATTTTTCTCAGTTGTCACTCTCATAAGTATGTGGACTTACCCTAGTGGTCTTACTCACTTTTGGTATCTGTACTGCTCCTGTAGACTCCTGGATTAGCATATTTTGCATATTCAAAAACAAACTATTATAAGATGATATGTGTTAAGGAAGAAGTAAGAACAGCATGCTATGCATGCACTCAAAAGGACTGCTTAATTTCAAGGTAAGAGAAAAGCAAGGGAAAGTCACAGAAAACTTGAGAAGGAGCTCTATTGGAGAAAAGCAGAGAAAATATCACCTATACAAGTACAGACGAAAAGAATGTGGCATGTTCAAAGAATTATGTATAGCTCAAGCAGGCCAATAATAAAGGATGGAGGCACATGAGAGAAGGCTGGTGAGAAGTTGCTCTACTTACATGATAAGTTCCTGCTGCAAGTGCTGTAACTCATGAGTCAGTTTGTTTTTATCCCCTCGTAAATTCTGGAATCACATACAACATTAGGCTGTATGTGTTACTTTAATGGGTGATTTACATTTAAACAACCCCACCTTGCAAACTGTGAGATTATTGTGGTATACCTCTATAATGTTTCCATATTCTATGATGGTTGACTTAAGTTCTTCTATACTTAAATCTTTCTGAAAAGTAGAAGAGAGAATAGCAAATAAATGTAGGAGTCTACCAAAGGATATTTAGTAGAATGTCAATCAGAGCCACAGAACTGTCAATGCCCAAAGATGATAAGACCTTCTACCAATATTATTATTTGAAAACTGAGCCAGTCTGTGTTTATGATTAAAAACACACAAAAATATGGGACAGCAAGGCAGCTATACCTAACTTGTGCCATTAGGTTTTTATTTCCCTGGTTCAATGGAATCAAACTCTGAAAGGTAATCTTCAAGTTCAAGTCAAAATTATATTTATTATCATGGCATATTAAGGGAAAAAATAGTCTACCTGCAAATGACTGATGAATTATTAAGGCATCCATTTTTATCCAGTTCAAATGATATCTGTTAAAATCACAGTTTTGTACTGTAAGACCAGAGGGTATAGTCAATGTCTGACTTATAATTTTATCTCATGACTAGCTTCTCATAACCTGACAAATGGGAAGTGCTCAATCAATACCTTATGAATGTTGGGCATAAATGCAAAGTGGTGGGAAGACCAGAGTTATGGAGGAGGTGAGCAGCCACCACTACCATAATGTCACCATATGGAGACAACACCCACGATGAAGAAAGAAAGTCAATACAACATTCAGTAACCTCATCAATCAATGTCTACAATTCATATGACTCCTTGGAAACTTTATGACATTCAGAGAAAGGAAAAGAGAAAACACTGCTTTGTATTTACTTCCCTGTCTTGGAAAGCGGAAGTTTATTAACTTGGACTGTGTCCTTCCTATGTCTCTTAAAGCCACCATAACCAGCATCTCTGTAGCCAGAATCTTTTGTTATCACATAGGCAATGATCACAGGATATAAAGATAAAGAGAATGGTATCTACCTACTTATCTACCTATCAATCAAATCAATCACACTAGGTAGAAAATAATTTGGGAATACATTCTTCCTTTTCCCTAAAATAAATGACCACACACTCATTTGTGTTGTTATGATTTAAAACTACATCACCATACCTAGGCAGTAACTGGTAAATTGGCACACTAGTATTTATTACATAAATGGATGAATACTACCAAAATTTAGAGAGGATATGTTAAAACTTATTCCAGGTAGAGAGTCAGTATTCTTCACTCAGAAGAACATTTTTGTGAAGTATTCTAAAGGAAAGTCTTGAGACGGAATAGCAGGATCAGGTACTTTAATAGGGGTGAATTTATTCAAATGATCATATCCATTATGATTTAGGGAGAGTTAGCAAATCCCATGGGACTTCATGGGAAGGAATAGTACCAACCTTCTGCAAACTTGCATCTTTACTAAGCAAAGCGTTCTCACATGCATGTAACTGCATCTGAAAAGAGACAAATTTAGGGAAGGCAATTGCTTTGGTAAAAGATAATGCCGCCAAAATCATTCCAATAGGGAGACATGTTTCTCAAACCCCTTTAATGAGCATGTGTTTCTTACTTTATAAACAACTTTCACATCAGCCTCACAACAACCAGAGAGGCCAGGGTTGTTGCCCTCACTTTACTAGTGAGGAAATCAAAGCTCAGCACTATTAAGAGACTTTGCCCAATGTCCTAAACAGTAAGGGTCAGAACTGAGGATAGAATATGAATCTTCAGCTCTCGCCAAGTGCCCTTTCCACTATTTTACCCTTTATAAAGTAAGAGGACCAATTGAGTCGTAATTTTTTGGGTGAAAATGAAAGTCTAGATAGGACATGAACACAGAGTCCATGTGAACATATAAAAGACTCTTCCTCTTGGATAACAAGTACTGTAGAAACCCACAGATTATCTAGCAATGTAACCTAGACTTGCGAAAATCTGATTAGCTGGACTGCAAGAAAAAAAAAAAGACTCTTCCTCTTTTAAAAACATAGTTTAAAATGTTCAAGATGTCTTTTAGCAAAACAAATATTAGAATGTATCAATTTATTCAAACCAAAAGCAAGCTTGTTGGCAAAAGTTTCTAAATATGATTAATAAATATATATATATATTAATTGAATCGAAAACCTAGAAAAATCATCAGCATAGTCAGAAGTAGAAATCACCATATAATCATATATATTTGATACCCCTTTATAGTTCTAAAGGTATTTTCACATAATCATCTCATTTGAGTTTCCACCAAGCTTTGGGATTAGGTAGGAAATATCACAAGCATTCAGCAGATGAGATCACTGAGACTTAAAGAGGTTAACTGCTTGTTTGAGGTCATAAAACTTTTAAGTAGAGAAGACAGGATTTGAACTCATGTCTTCTGACTCTTTCTACTACTAGTTTATGACAGTTGTGTTTTCCAAAAACAGTCATTCCTAGAATAAAATTAATTTGAATATCTAAACTATGAGCTAGATAGATATATATATGTCATAATATATGTATATGTATACACACACATATACAGAAGCTAGGTATCTGCTAGGAAACTTGAAAACTCCACATACAAACATGAAACTTAAGTATATCATTTCGCACATACACTACAACAAAAAATATTGCTCAAAGAAACTATTAGAGATGACAATAAGTATGACACAAATTCCTAAATTTATTAATATTCTTCAGTTTCCTAATAAGAATATACGGAATATACACTAAATATAGACTTTTAGATGCAATATAGTTAAAAAATCATTTTTGTAGCCCTATCATCCCTTAATTCAATCAAGGATAGATTTTTCCCAGCTCTCATTTTCTGCATTAAGAAAGTCTAACAGTTGAAATCTTTGCTGATTAAGGGATTTACAAAACCAGATACTCTTAAATTAGAAATTGCCACTATAATAAAAAATATAAATAGTAACAAGTGTTGGTAAGGATGTGCAGGGATCTGAGCCTTCATGAATAGCCAGTGGAAATGTAAAATGGTACCAGGAAAAAGTCTGGAAGTTCCTAAAAAGGTCAAACATAGGGGCACCTCGTGGCTCAGTCAGTTAAGCATCCGACTCTTGATTTTTGGCTCTGGTCATGGTCTCAGGGTTGTGGGATTGAGCCCTGTATCAGGCTCCGCATTGAGCGTGGAGCCTGCTTAGGATTCTCTCTCCATCTTCCTCTGCCCCCCACCCCACTCACACGTGCACACTCTCTCTCTCAAAAAAAAAAAAAAAGTCAAAAATAGACATATGACCCAGTAGTTGCACTCCTAAATATATACTTAAGAGAATATATAGATTGACACAAAACCATATATGCAAATGTTCATAGCAGCAGTATTCATAATAGTCAAAAAGTAGAAACAGCCCTAATGCTCATCAACAGATGAATGGATAAACAAAATGTGGTATATCAATACAATGGAGTATTATTCAATAATAAAAAGAAATAAGGTATTGATATATGCTATAACATGAATGAACCTTGAAAAACATTATGCTCAGTGAAAGAAACCAATCACAAAAGACCACATAGTGTATATAATTCCATTTATATGAAATGTCCAGAACAAGTAAATCTCTATTATAGAGACAAAAAGTCTCTATAGCGGTTGTCTAGAGTTGGTGGGGAATGGGAAGTGACTGCTAAGGGGATTTCTTTTGGGATGATAAAAATATTTTAAAATTGGATTTGATGATAGTTGCACAATTCTGTGAATATACACTAAGACCACTGACTTACATACTTTATGTGGATGAATTTAATGGCATGTGTGTTATATATCAGTAAAGCCATTACATTAAAAAGAGAGAGGAACTGTTTTATACACCGTAATTCAGACTTTTTGAGGAACACAAATTTCAAAATTTATAATCAAAGGATACTTTGTCAATGAGTCATATACACCTTCACAAAATAATATTGGTTTGACAAAAGAAAATATTTTACCAGTATTTGGGAAGTGCTTACTTGGTGTTCTGTCTCAGTTTTAGACAACTCCTCAATCTTCTTTTCCAATTTATATATATCCATAATGTTCTTAGTATTCTGATGTAAAAGAAGATAATATTCTTAAATTTAGACAAAAAAATAAAAGAACAAAGTTTTTTTTAGGAAGTGGTATTTTCATCATTAACATCACAATCCATTTTAAATTAAGGGACAAAACTTTAGACTTTATCCAAAAGTAACATGGTCCTTTTAACATGACCATCCAGGACTCTTGGGAGTCCCTTTATCTTCCATGGCCCCTTGGCCATGCACTCCCCAGTCACATCTTCATCTTCAGACTTGTCATTGCCAGCAAGTGTGACCCCTCCTTTATTTTAATTGCAAACATCTCACTCTTCAACCACCACTTCCTCTTTGCAGATTACTTCTTTGAGAGCCAACAAACCTTCAGTCCCCACTGAAGCCTGTATTAATCCCACCACCTTCTCATTATCCTTCCCCCTTCCTGTGAACTCAGTCCCCTCTTTACTCAGCTTAAATTCTCCCATGGTCAATCATCATAATACCTCTCTTCCACTTGCCCGCTATTCCCTTCCTTCTCCCCTATCTACTTCTTAGTAGCTGCTTAATTTCAGCTTGCCACCCACTCCATGACAGCATCCTTCCAGATAAACATTGTTAAAGAAAAATACAAACGAAGCAACAGGTCACACATTCAATTCATAATTTTTAACTTCAATATTGACTGGTGATCATATCATACAATCCTAATCCATTCATGTGGCCCCTGGCTTAAATTAGGGAACTGCAAATTACACCAACTTCCCCACCCCACCCCACCCCACCCCCACAGGTCAACTCCAGCTGACCACCTACCTGGTTTGGAAATAAAGTTTTATCAGAACACAACGGTGCCTATTTTTTTTTTCATATTGTCTATGGCCGCTTTCATATGACAATGGCAGAAGTGAGTGGTTACAACAAAGGCCTTTTAGCCAGGCAAGCCTAAAAATATTTACTATCAGATCCTTTACAAGAAAGTTTACCAACTCCTGGCCCATTTCATCCCTTCTCTCTCCTGGAATGTCAAATACTTCCTCCACCTTCCTCACTATCAGCTGATCACTTTGCTTTTATGTCACTGAGACATTAGAAACAATCAGAAGAGAACTTCTATATCACCAGAACATATAATAAATACGTTTGGATATGTTATAAAGCATTTGCTGATCTAACACTTCTCTCCAGCAGTCAGCCTCCATAAATTTATGCCTGTATGTTACAAGGACTTGTAATTGGTCTCCCAGTTCTTCTCTTGTCCCACTACAGTTAATTTTAAACCCAGCAGCCAGAGTTATCTTGTTAAAATAGAAATTAGATCATATTTCTCCTCTGCTCACAACTGTTCAACAGCCCCCATCTCAGTCAGTGGAAACAGCCAGAGTCCACACAATGCCGATATGAGATGCTGTGGGTCTGGCTCCCTGAAGCTCTCTGTACTTGTGCTTGTTACCTCTGCTCCAGCCACACTGGCCTTGCTGTCCCCCAAAAAGAGCTGGCAGGCTAAGCCTGAGGACTTACAGCTACAGTTTCCTCTGCCTAGAATGCTCCTTCACTGATAAACCTCCTTTCGTTTTGATCAAATGATTAACTTCATAGGGCTACTTTTCCTAACCATTCTAGTTTAAATTGCACTGTCTCGTAATTCTAGTTTTCTGCTTTTCTTTCCTCCATAGCACTAATCACCACCTAACATGCTAGGTCCTTGTGGGCTTTTCTACATAAGCTTGTATGATCAACACCTAGAATAGTGCCTCCTAGTTCACAAAGGTTTCCCAATAAGTATGTGTTGAATGAATGAATGAATGAATGAACGTAACTACCCAAGCTATTGTGCTGTTACTCTTCACAGTGCATCAGATTTTTACCCCCCAAAGGAATCTCATCTAGTAGTGACATTTATATGCTTTTACTAATGCAAATCAATAATTGCAATGCTCTCATGAGGAAGGGTTCCACATCTTCCTCCTTCTACCTCAGTTCTAAATTCAGTTCTGTACAATTCTTTGATGCTAGTCAATCATCTTAAATATGAGGAGAAAAATATCTTATACTGAGAGCTTAACTGTAAAGCACTAGTTTCATGAAAACCTGGCCTTGTTGCTATACCATGTCTAAATCTAATGTAGGGTTTCTTAACAATCTTTTAATTGTTCCTTTCCAGCCCACTATATAATTTCTTTAATGTCCGGTTGGCCCATATTTGAGATAACTCTTCATCACAGACTGTTTATCACAGCTTAATAAATACCCCTGATAAACTTATAAAAAGCCCAAATTAAAAAGCTATAAACTTAACATTCAAAAGGTACTTATAGAGAATTTTCCTCCAAAATATTAACTTACAAGTAGCTCTGTTATCTGTTGCTTCAATGCTTTAACTCTGTTGCTTAAAAACTTAAGGCATAGGACTATTTTTTTAGATATTTTACTAATATTTCCTAACACATATGAAGTACATTATGATTAACCAAATAGCTTCACATGCAATATCTTAATCTCCAAAGTTACTGTAGGGAATAGGTATTATTAACTCCAAAAAGATAAATGGTTTTTCCAAAGTCAGACTTTCAGACCCAGTGACTAGGTCTTTGATTCAAGACTTTTTCCAGCTAGTTCAGTGGAATAATGGAAAATTAATAATGTCTACCTTTTCCTTCTTGATTTGTATACTTTTTACATGGGTTAATTTCATTTTATCCTAAGTCTGAATTTCTTAAACCCCATTTCTTCCATGGATAATTACAAAGGTAATAATGTACTTCTGTTCAGACACGAAGGTCCTATCCACTCTTCCTCACTTGCATTTGACAAAGCAAACTGGTCTTCGTTCACAGGAGTCTGAATATTCACATGATTTCTGTTTAATCCAGGGTCAGAATTCATGCCTGTATGATTTCCATATGTTTTTCTCTACCTGTGTTTAATAATTTCGGCATACCTCTTCTTGGAGAATCCGAATCTTAAGAATCAGAGCCCGGTTTTCTGTCTCCTGATTCATTAAGAGAAAGGAATTAAAAAGTATTTAGAAGTTTTTGAAAATACCACTTATTTACCTCTAAGACTACTGACATTCTTTCTCTTTATCAACTTTAAACATGGTATTGACATATCACAAAGGAGCTTAGTCTGAAAATATTCTCAGTATGAAGCTAAGCCTTTGGCTTCTAGTTTCTTGGGATTTATAAGATATTGTCACTCTTCTCTTTGACTCAACCTGACAGGGAGGGAAAGAGGAAAAACAAAAAAGGAATAGCCCGGCTTCTTTCCCTGCAACATTCCCACTGTCCACTTATGACAGGTAGTATGAATTCATCTATTTAAATGGCACCTTGAAATCACAAAAAGTTCTAACTTTCTACTTGAAGCGGTGGATATTCTCAGATTCAATATTGCCAGAACATATGAATATCAAAAACTGTTTTATAATGAAGAGCCCAAAATTCAGAACCATGAGAAGAAAAAATATTCTAGGACAAGATAAATGCCAAAATGTTAGCAGCAAATCTTGTGGATAGGATAAGTTAAGGATTTTGTGGGATTTTATTTTTTCTTTGTTAATAGGCATTTCCTTTTTCTTTTTTTTTTTTGAGAGAGGGAGAGAGCATGTGTGTGTACACACACATCCTTGCAGGGGGAGGGGGAGGGGGGCAGAGGAGCAGAGGGAGAGGGAGAGAGAGAGTCCTAAGCATATGCTTCATGCTCAGTGCAGAGCCCAACCCGGGCTCAGTCCCACAACCCTGAGATCATGACCTGAGTTGAAATCAAGAGTCGGAGACTTAACTGGCTGAGTCACCCTGGGACCCCTGCATTTCCTCATTTTATAGAGTGAACAGGTATTACCTTTATAACATAGAAATAAAAGGGGAACCAGCTCAGGTTAAGATGTCACTGGTATGAGAATGAAAGAACACACACACCATGTAATTGGAATCTGAAGACCTGAGTTCAGTCGTAGCTCTGCGTTTATCAGATAATTGACTTTGAATAATCAAAACATTTCTGGACTTCACCTATAACTATTAATTTTTTTAATTGAAGAATATCAACTTCTGTTTTTACCTCACAGAATTTCTACGACCAATGAGGTAAAGTAGTAAAAATTCTTTTGAAATTGTAAAACACTATAAAATGCAAAAGGTTAGAATTGTGTATCTAGGATTCTGACCTTTTAACAATCGCAGCTAACAATATTGAGCCCAAATCATCAATTGTCCAAAAAGGACATTGATGATTTTACACGTATTAACTTATTTAACCCTTCTAGCCCTAGGGTAGGTAGTACAGTTATCTTCATTTTATACGTGAGGATGCTAAAGGCAAAAGAGTTTACATGGTTTGCCTAAAGTTACACAGTCGCCGGAGTCAGGCCTTGGATGTCAGCAGTCTGACTCACAAGAAAGGCTACTTGCTCGTTTCTCAGCATTTCCTCCACATACAAGTTCCTCTGTGGTCCCAAACTGAGTCTTTCCTGTACTGCATTCAGAGACTTGCAGAGTCACCTGACACTCAGTGAGTCTAGTCCCCACATTTGTGCCACTGAGGCAAGAGCTAAGCTAATCTGTGTTGGTTGTGGGAATGACATAGGCCTGGAGCCCAAGTCTCCTGATGGCTTACAGATCTAAAAAGGAATTAGTCTGAATGACTTTCATCTGACCCCACCATTGTCAGCAATGCTAGAATACTGCTGGAATATATCAGGATTTGCAAGATTATTACTAACGCTCTAGATAATAATTTAACATTCTCAATTTAGAAACTTGGTTTTCAATTTAGTTTAACTTAGTTTTTAATTAAAACTTAGCTTTAATTTAAAGCTTAGTCTAAATAATGTTTTGTTCTAAAATTTTCAAGCCTGTGTTTATTTAGTGTAAGGACTGATTTATGGGGCTTCTTAGTAATCTGTAAGTACTAAGATAATGGATTTTTTTAAACCTGAGAAAAAGGTGAAAATTTGATAGGGAATTTATTTTTTTAGAGAATTCAAGTGGTTTTTAGTATCAGGTATTTATGAATTCACCTATCAACTTCAGGAAGCATTCCAGAGATCTTCTAGATCTTCAGAAACCATTGTGAATATGACTGAGTTTTGTAAAGAATTTTAATCTTGGCTGAAAAGAAAAAGTCTATCCTATTTGCCTTTACTTTTCTAAGGTATTACCAATTCATTCATCAGCCTACTGGCTTCTGATTTTTTTTAAGATTTTATTTATTTATTTGTCAGAGAGAGAGATAGTGAGAGAGAGAGAGCACAAGCAGGGGGAGTGGGAGAGGGAGAGGGAGAAGCAGGCTCCCTGCTGAGCAAGGAGCCCGACGTGGAACTTGATCCCAGGATCCCGGGATCAGGACCTGGGCTGAAGGCAGATGCTTAACCAACTGAGCCACCCAGGCGTACCTGACTTCTGATTTTTTAAAAAGGTTTTTATTTATTTATTTGTCAGAGAGATAGAGAGAACACAAGCAGGGGGAGCAGCAGGCAGAGGGGAAGCAGGCTCCCCACCGAGCAGGGACTTGATCTCAGGACCCTGGTATCATGACCTGAGCCAAAGGCAGACGCTTAACTGACTGAGCCACCCAGGTGTCCCCCTGACTTCTGATTTTTGCCCAAATAAACCCTCTTGGATTTCAGTTATGTAAACTATATGCCAATTTCAAATTACTTGGCTGACTTACTAACTGTTTGTTCTGGGCTAAAATCATGGTCTTCTGCTCTTCAGAAGCATTCATACTAATTTTCAGTTCCTCCAGTTCTTCTTTTAACAGATTTGTTCTCATAATAGCTTGGTGGGCACTGTGGGGATGGGAGGGGGAGGCAATGAGCAAAACCTCAAATATAACCGTCAAAGATACAAAGTAAAGCCAGGGACTATTTTTGTACCCAAGCTGAAAACCACTAAAGGCTTAAGCCAGATGCCAACAATAGTAAAAATACACCCATGATCTTTCACAGTCCTTAGAAAAGGAAGAGATTTGGGGGGAGTGTGGTGGGGGGAAGAGAGATAGAAGGAAACAAACATTCTTGAGGATAAAAATTTGGAGTCTCCCTTTGAAATTCATCATTGGCTGAATTGCATGGTTCTTTCCTTCCACTAAGATATAATATTTAGTTAATGCAATTCTACAAGTATTTATTTATTTATTTATTTTAAAGATTTTGTTTATTTATTTGAGAGAGAGAGAATGAGAGAGAGCATGAGAAGGAAGAGGGTCAGAGACAGAAGCAGACTCCCTGCTGAGCAGGGAGCCCGATGCGGAACTCAATCCCGGGACTCCAGGATCATGACCTAAGCCGAAGGCAGTCGCTTAACCAAATGAGCCACCCAGGGGCCCCTCCACAAGTATTTATTGACTAATACCATGTTCTAGGAGCTGTATCCTGCAAAGAGGCCTATGATGGTGAACAAGAGACACAGTCCTTGCCCTTGTAGAGGTTACATACTAGTGAAGGAGAGGAACAACTAAACAAATAATTACAAATAGTGTCTATGTACTTTACATTAGAAGTTTATTATAGCATTGTTTACAATACCAAACAACCTAAATGTCCAACAACAAAAAAAAACGTATTAAATGAATTATGGTAATTCATATCATGGAATTGCTTATTTGTATTCCCACTGGATTATAAACTGTTTTCTGAGCAGGGTCTCAAAGAAGGTACCATTTTTTTCCTTGCTAAGGAAATTACACTGATCATTCAATAAATGTTCATGGAGCTCCAGCTCTGTACCAGGCATTATGTTAGGCCCTGAAGAAGACAAAAGTGAGTCCAAGCATGAGAACTCTACCTTCCTGGAGCTTACAGACCAGAAGGATAAACAGAGAAGGGTAAACAGACAATCATAATTATAATACAGTGTGATAAGAACCAAGATTAGAGTGAACCCAAGTTCTGTAGACACTGGGTAAAAGGCAGACAGCTCAGATAATGGGAGGGTAGGGGTGGGGGAAGAGAGAGAGCAAACAGTAGCCCATTGAGTGGCTGCAAGCAGTTAGATATTGTTGGAACCTAGAGTGGAAAACGGGAGTAGAGATCAGCAACAGAAACCCTGTCAGAAAGGACTCTGCAAATTGAATTTCATCCTGAAGGTGATAGGGATCAATGGAAGTGTTTAAAGCAGAGACATGATGTGGTCAGACTAGCATTCCTGCCCATGTGGCACTAGTTTTGGAAAGGCAGGGAGATGAATCAGGAGGCTGTTGTAGTGATCCGGGTGAAAGATGATGTTTAGTTGAACTAAGTAGTAGATTCCTCTAAGACATAGATTTTGTTTTTTTTAAGATTTTATTTATTTGAGAGAGAGCACAAGCAGCGGGAGTGGCAGGCAAAGGGAGAGGGAGAAGCAGATTCTCTGCTGAGCAGGGAGCCCAATGTGGGGCTCGAACCCAGGACCCTAAGATCATGACCTAAGCTGAAGGCAGACGCTAAACAGCCTGAGCCACCCAGGCACCTCTCAAGGCATAGACTTTTTTTTCTTTTTATTAAGGCATAGATTTTTAAGAGAAACTGAATTATTATATTTCAAATAAATAATAAATAAAACTATTGTGGAATGGAGAAAACTCAAGGTAAGCAGTTCTTTTTATTTATTTTATAGATTGGTTTGGAGGCTGGACTGGCTGGTCAAAATTTATGAGAGGAAGAATCCATGGTCAGAATGCTTTACTGTCTTTTCAAGTTAACTTAGAACTTTTCTGTTCAAAATTTTAGCACCTACAACATCTGTAACTGCAGACTTTGTGAGAACTTTGCTGCTTTTTTCCCCTGAAGTTTAGGCATCTCCTCACAACCCATTTTACCAGTACTTGATACTATGTGATATGTCCCCTAGGTCCTTTATCCCTTTTTATCTTAAGCTAAAGTCACAACTTTTCTTATCATCCATCATCCTTATCATGTACCCTGAAAGCACATTTTAAAACCTGGCTTATCAATGAATCTCTCATAATATAGTTGGCCCTTGAACAACATGGGTGTGAAGTGCACCAACCCTCCTAAAATATCTATGTGTAATTTCTGACTCGCCCCCAAACTTAACTACTAATGGCCTACTGTTGACTGGAAGCCTTATCAATAACATCAACAGCTGATTAACACATATTTTCTATGTTATATGTATTATATACTGTATTCTTGCAATAAAGTAAGCTGGAGAAAATAAAATATTAAGAAAATCATAAGGAAGAAAGCTCAGTCGGTTAAGCGGCTGCCTTCGGCTCAGGTCGTGATCCCAGGGTCCTGGGATTGAGCCCCGCATCGGGCTCCCTGCTCGGCAGGGAGCCTGCTTCTCCCTCTCCCTCTGCCTGCCTCTCTGCCTACTTGTTCTCGCTCTGTACCTCTCTGCCAAATAAATAAATAAAATCTTAAAAAAAGAAAAAATACACTTATAGTATTGTACTGTATTTATTGAAGAAAATTCATGTGTAAGTGGACCCGTGCAGATCAAATCTGTTATTCAAGGGTCAACTGTACTTAGCATGGGAATTTGCATAGAGTAAGAGTTCAGCTGAACCACAGAATGCTTTGGAGAGATCCACACTTGGTCAATAGGTATATTGGTCTTAAATAGGCAACACTGCTTTGAATGACAATAAAGAATATCATTGTTAGAAAAGCAATTAGCAAACTAGCAAAATATCATTGCTAGACAATGACATAAAGAATATCATTGCTAGAAAAGAACTGCCAAACATTGCTAGCAAAAATCTAAAATAGTACAGCTGCTTTGGAAACGATTTGGCCGTTCTTCAAGATTCTAACTATAAGTCACTACACAGCAATTTCACTTCTAGGTATATACCAAGGAGAACTAAGAGCCTATGTTCACACAGAAATTTGTATACCAACGTTCATACCAGGAGTATTTGTAATAGCCAAAAAGTGAAAATACCCCCAAATATCCATACTCTGAAGAATGGATAAACAAAACTGTATGTCCATACAATGGAATATTATTCAGCCACAAAAAGGAACAAAGTAGTTCCATATATGCTACATGGAACCTTGACAACATTATGCTAAGTAAAAGAAACCAGACACAAAGGTCACATGTTGTATGATTCCATTTATGTGAAATGGCCAGAACAGGTAAATCCATAGAGACAGAAAGTAGATTAGTGGTTGTGAGGGGCTGAGGGGAAGGGAAATAGGGAGTGACACTTAACAGCGATGGGTTTCCTTTCAGGAGTGATGAATTGCATCATGGTAATTGGCTGCACAACCTTGCAAATACAGTAAAAAACACTGAATTGTACACCTTAAAAGGGTAAAATTTTATGCCATGTGAATTATAACCCAATTTAAAAAACAGATTTTTTAAGAAGGGAAAGCTCCCAGCACACTGTCCCCTTCTCTATGGGTCACCTTTTTATCTGATGGCGTAACTCAGTACAATCCTCTGATAACTGGCAGTTAGCTTCTTCCAAGGTTTCTAATGCCGATTTAAACTTATTGTTTTCCTCCTCCAGTTTCTGCTTGTGAAAATGCAGGTCTGCTACATAGGTAATCAAATCAGAAATTTCTCTGTGGGTGAAAGAATGAATGAGAATCATCTTCAACATCTCCAATCCCTCCTGATCAAAATAAAGCATATATCACTGTGCGGGGCGCCTGGGTGGCTCAGTTGGTTAAGCGACTGCCTTCAGCTCAGGTCATGATCCCAGGGTCCTGGGATCGAGCCCCGCATCGGGCTCCCTGCTCGGCGGGGAGCCTGCTTCTCCCTCTCCCACTCTGCCTGCTTGTGTCCCCTCTCTCGCTGTCTCTCTCTCTCTCTCTCTCTATTAAATAAATAAAATCTTAAAAAAAAAGTGTTTAAAAAAAAAGCATATATCACTGTGCAACTTTCTACTTGATCCCTTTCAATCCTAGTAAGTGTAGTCCATTTATATAATAAATATTTATTCAAGCATTGTTACAGTAGCAGAGATTTTTCCAAAACTGCCAAATATTCAGCATCCGCCAGCTGTGAAGTCAGCTGCCACAGCTTTGTTAATTCTTTTCCACTTCGCTTCTAACACTTGCCTCGGCCTCCTATGAAGAGTTTCCATTTCTGCCCGGGTTATGAGGGCTCTGAAATAAACTAACACATTGTTACTCTTTCAGCCAAGCGATCTTGGCAGGTTTTAATAGGCCTTTAACTAGGAAACAATTCCTAGAGACTTATGTTTGCAGCCTGTAGCTCACAGTTTAGGATTCATCTTTCCTAATATTTTCTACAGCGTGTTAATGTGTTTGTCACCCTCGATCCTGACATTAGAGCTCAGGCCCTTTGAGAGTCTAGACGGCATGTTTCATGGAGTCCTAGGCCTTCTCCTCTCTGCCATTTTATCTCAGTGCTTAGCACAGCTTGGGCACATGGTTCCTACCACACGTTTCTGCAGGGGCAAACCTAAAGTGGCAAAGAGAACATAAGGGAGAGAGAGAATTGCCTCTTCTTGATGTTTAAAACTTACACACCTTTAGCAGAAAACAGCCTTTCTCATTCATATCTAAAAGTATCTATTAAAGAGGTGCTTTAAAAACAATCACCCAAAGAGCTGAAGGTCAATGTCATAATTTTACCTCAAATGGAACTTGTTTTCCATGGAAAGCACATGAAGTTAATGTAGGAGAAGGGTTTTATTAGTGAGGAAATGTTAGTTTATATAATGCGAGTCTTATATAAATCGTGCTCCTAGTGAAATTAGTTCTGATACAATTGGGATAGAATAGTCAAGAGTTAAATAAAAGATTGGTTAGCCACACACACACACAAACACACACACAAAGCTAAGTGGCTTTATCATAAGTAAAACAAGTAGACCTATGAAATAAATGAGAAAAAGAAATAAGAGGTACTTGAGAAAGCATTACAAGTAAGAATGCTTACAAGACTCCTTTAGACATATCTCCACCCAAAGCCTCGAAGCTCCATGACGTAGATTCTGTTTTATCTGTGGTCATCTTAACTGAAACACATACAAGAGTGTTTTATGAAAAATCCATTTCTCCAGACCACAAGAAAGTGGCAGAACAAACAGGAAGAAACACATGCATACTTGCTCTACTTGATTTTATGCTGTCCTGTTCAAAAACAGAATCCTCGGTGCCACCTGATCCACCACTCATTCTTTCCCTGCAACCAAACAAAACCCATGAGCTAGGACTCTTTGCCAGCCCAAAACTCAGCTACTTTTTCAGATGTGCTCTGTAACTTCTCTATTCAGGTATTTCTTTCTGAATTTTAAAACTATCTATTCATTCAGCAACTATTTGGAGTTCGACATTGTGCTTAGATAGGGTAACAGAAAAGAAACTTAAGGCATTACCTCTATCTCCCATTAACTTTTAATCTAACCTGAAAAAGAATATGTGCATGCAGAAGTAGGCAGGTAATGATGTGCAGTGCTTATGATTGCGGACAGGAGGTCTCAAGGGATTAGGAAGTCAACACATAGTTTGGCGTAATAAGTTTGCAGAGATAACAAGACTGTGGGATTTGAAAAATTGGGAAGGAAAAGGCATGAACAACGAATACTTTCATGGTGCTATCATTTTTCCTTTCTCATGGAAAACCAAGTTGAACCTAAATGAATTGTACTTTGAGCTTTTACTCCTGAAATTTGGGGAAAGCTCTATATAGTCCACTATCCAGAACACAAATTCTAGCTCTAACCCTCAAACATATTAAAGTTTCAACCATTTCCTTTTTAAGAGTCTCTATACTATGCTTTTAAGTTTTATTTAATCTTTCTAAATGCCAAATACTTAGACTATCTCTTTGGAACAGCTACAGAATTCTCTAGATCTGTACTAACATCTCATTGTGTTTCAATGTGCGACGTCTGTCAGAATAATTCACGCACCACTTCACTATTGATAGCTATATACCTAACACCATTTGAGTTTCTGTTCTTCTATTTTGTGCTTATACCTCCCACATTTTTCTTTACTTTTTTTATAAAAATTTTTTCTTTTGCTCTCACACCATCTTATAATAGATTTTTAATACTTTTATTATACAAACCTAAGTATTTTAGAAAAATGGGAAAATGCATAAGAAAAAAACAGAAAGATGAAACCATCATGGAAAGATAATCATTTTGGAATATATTCTTCCCAACTTTATGCATATTTTTCCTTAATATGGGTTTATAATACATATATGTATTTATGGTCATATTTGAAATAAATATATATGAATATTTCTCTTCTCAAATGTTTATCTAATTATAATTTTGAGTGACTAGGATTCTAGTGGATGGAAGTATTATAATTTATTAATCTGACCCTCTATTTTAAAATTTGTAAGTTGCTTATATTTATCACTGTCATAAACATACATATATGGTTGGTTATTCTTCTTGAAGTTACATGACTAGCCCAAATACATCACATATTTTTAAGGGTTTGATATATATTCCTAAATTGTTCTTGAAAAAACTATGCCAACTTGCACTACCAGCAACACTGTATGAAAGGAGGCTTATTTCTCCACCTGCCTTGACAACATGGGGTAGAGTTATTCTTTTAAAACTGATGGGCAAAACTGGTATGTTGTCTTTATTTGTATTCCTTTGATTACTAGCAAAATTAGATATTTTTATGAATTTATCTTGCTTTCATGATTAACTCGTTCTTGGCAAACAACATTTTGGTCATCTTAAGTCATCTAGACATCCTAACCCTACATGAAATCTAGCAAGTTTTGTCACTTTTTAGGCTTGCAGTGTTATTTAAGAAAATTCCTAGTATATATAAGCTGATAGCTGGAGATCGGTGGCTGATTAAAGCCAGAGAAATTAGGCTTCCTATGAAAGAAGGTAAAATTTCTCCAGGTTCCACACAGGCACACCTGACATCATGCATACTCTTCTCCTTTTTTTTTTTTTTTCTAATTCCACTTTTTTCCTTTTCCCTTTAGCTTCTCTTTATCCTAGGCTTTCAAATTATATTCACTGCCTAATTATCCCCACTGACCTCTAAAGGGCACTCACTCTGAGTTTAAATGCATTTGGAGATTTGCTGGTCATTATCAATAATTTGCTTCACTCCTATGTCAGCTCAATTTTTTGTGAGAACATAATAATATGTACTGCCCCTAATCACAATAAATGGATGTTATTAGGATTAACATAATTAATATAATACATTCTCAAAGTATGCTTATCACCCCTATGTGTACACATACACTCCTCAGCATCATTATCACTTGGAAATATGTTGGAAATGCAAATTATCAGGCTTCACCCCAGACCTGCTGAATCATGGTTGGGGGGCAACAATCAGGTATGATAAATAGTTCAGGTGATTCCAGTACATGCTAAAGTGTGAGGAGCACTGGATATATCTATAGTACTTCCATCAACACACACACACACACACACACACAGTGATTAGCATTAATTGTAGTCAGTTGTTAAAACAGAACCTGAATATGCATCCTGCTGGGACTATGATTACCATTTTTTTAAAAGATTTATTTATTTGAGAGAGAGAGAGAGAGAGAGAGAGAGAGCTCACGGGCTCGAGAACAGGGGGGAGGGGCAGAGGGAGAGGGGGAGGGAGTCTCAAGCAGACTCCGCACTGAGTACAGAGCTTGACACAGGGCTTGATCTCATAACCATGAGATCATGACCTGAGCTGAAACTAAGAGTCAGACACTCAACCGACTGTGCCACACAGGCACCCCAATGATTACCATTTGTTTCTACAGCAAGCCATCCATTCTTTCAGGATGGCACAAAAAATGTCCAGGTCCACATGTAGGTCTCCCTTTTCAGGATCAAGTATGTTCCATAGCTCCTCAAGTCCACTATCTTCAGAATTTTGACTACTTGCTTGTCTCAGGTAATCTATTATTTTGGCAACTCCAACTGAACCTTAGGAAGAAAGGCAAATTAATTTTGAAAGATGTATTTTTTTTTAATGAGAGAGAGAGAGAGAGAGTGAACACAAGCAAGAGTGGCAGGCAGGGGAGAAGCAGGCTCCCTGCTGAGCAAGGAGCCTGATGCGGGACTCAATCCCAGGACCTCAGGATCATGACCTGAGCCGAAGGCAGCTGCTTAACAGCTGAGCCACCCAGGCATCCCTTTTGAAAGATGTATTAAGATTACGTTTTAAAAGTGAAGAGTGAAGTGCTCAACTCTTTCAGGACCCTTGTGCTCTGGAATGTACCAGGTGTGTAGATTTGGGAAAATTTCTTAATCTGTTTAAGCCTCAGTTTTCTTATCTGTGAAATGGGGATGATAAAAACTACCATACACAGTTGTTGTGAGGTTTAAATATGCATGATATATATATATATACTCAATAATCACTTGTGAGAGTAATCAAAAGGCAACATTCTTTTTTGTATCTCCCATTCTTTCCTTAAAAAGCATTCAGTGAGGACACCTGGGTGGCTCTGTTGGTTGAGCAACTGCCTTCAGCTCAGGTCATGATCCTGGAGTCCCTGGATCGAGTCCCGCATCAGGCTCCCTGCTCGGCAGGGAATCTGCTTCTCCCTCTGACCCTCCCCCCTCTCATGTGCTCTCTCTCTCTCATTCTCTCTCTCTCAAATAAATCTTTTTTTTAAAAAAAAGCATTCAGTGAATACCAACAGCATCTTTCACATAACTAGAATAATCCTAAAACATGTATGGAACCACAAACAACCCCGAATAGTCAAAGCAATCTTGAAAAAGAACAAAGCTGAAGGCATCACAACCCTAGATTTTAAGTTATATTATAAGGCTGTAGTAATCAAAACAGTATGGTACTGGTACAAAAATAGACACATAGGTCAAAAAAACAGACTCCAGATCCCAGAAATAAACTTATGCTTATATGGTCAATTAATCTATGACAGAGGAGGCAAGAATATATAATGGAGAGAAGACAGTCTCTTCAGAAAATGCTGCTGGGAAAACTGGACAGCTACATGCAAAAGAATGAAACTAGACCACTTTCTTACACCACAAACAAAAACAAACTCAAAATGGATTAAGGGCCAAATTAGTGAGATATAAAACCGTAAAACTTGTAGGACATCTGGGGAAGATGGCAGAGTAGGAGGATCCCAAACTCACCCCATCCCATGGATACATCTATATAACACGCACATCAGTATGAACAATCCAGAAAATAGCCTGAACACTGGCAGAACAGACAGACTCTCCACAGCTAAATGTAGAAAAGAGGCCACATCAAAAAAGGTAGGAAGGGTAGAGACATGATTGGGAACCAAACTGACTCATGAGACTGTCCGCAGGAGGGAGGGACACCACAGGAACAGAAATAAGAGAGGAGCACACTCCACACCAGGCATCCCAGGCATGGGGGATCCCCATTGGGAAGATGGATCCCCATAACATTTGGCTTTGAAAACCAGAGGGGCTTAACTTTGCAAGTTCTTAAAATCAGTAGGGTTTAACACCTAGAACCTTAGAAAGCAGCAGGCATGGCTCTGGGAGAGCAGGAGGGCAACAGGAAATGGATTCCTGCCCTTAAAAGACAGCATAACAACACTGCTGAGATATAACAGAGAAGTGGCAATCTGAAAAACACCTGGAATATATGGGAAGATTTATTTACTAATTTTAGAACATGTGCAGGAGGGACAGGGACCATTGGGAGACTCCTCCAAGAAAAAAAGTGCTGGCAAGCACCAGCCTTTCCCCCTGCCCAGTCTAGATATATGGACACCTGCAGGAACCTGCAGTGTGAACTCTTTCCACCTAGCATGTTAACAGTGACCCTACCCCAGCTTTCTCCTGTGGACCCACTCAATCCAACATACCCTCAGAGGGAATCCATCCAAAGCAGTGCCCCGTGCCTGGCAGTGTGCAAGTATCCCAAGAGGACCAGCACCACTCCAAACTGACACCTGTCCCAGGGAGAGGGGAAGATAACCACATACATCAGTTTGACTATGGTCCCAAAAGTGGACAGGGGGCAGACATCTGGTCTGACTATAGGCCCCACCCACCAAAGAAAGCTTCTCAGGTGACAACACAGGAAGGGAGCCTTGCAGTTCTGTGTGACCACAGCTCTGGCGAACACCCAATCTGATCCAACTCAAGCCAAAGGTGGCTCCAGAGTAGCCCATTAACCACACAGGGACCAAATCCTGCCCAAACAGGCAAAGAGAACTATTGCAGATGACTGAACTGAAAGCAAATGTGGCTTAGCCACAACGGTAGGGTGCACACAAAACACATAGGAGACACTCCTGAAGTGTCAGGTCCTGGTGAACAGGAGACATTGTACTGCAGGGCACTACAGGACCTCCACTTCATTAGCCCACCTCTTTCAAGAGCAAGAGATGGAACTGAGTTTCCTAACACATAGAAACAAAGTTAGACATAATGAGGTGACAGAGGAATATGTCCCAAATGAAAGAAGAGCACAAAATCACAGCAAAAGAGCTAAATAAAACAGAGGTAAGTAATATGCCAGTTAGAGAATTTAAAGTAATGGTAATAAAGATACCCAATGGACTTGAGAAAAGAGTGGAGGATCTCAGTAAGACCCTCAACAAAGAGAAAGAAACATAAAAAAGAACCAATCAGAGGGGCGCCTGGGTGGTTCAGTTAAGTATTGGACTCTTGACCTCAGCTCAGTTCTTGATCTCAGGGCCATGAGTTCAAGCCTCCACTGGGTGTGGAGCCTACTTAAAAAAAAAAAAAAAAGAACCAACCAGAGATGAATAACTCAATACTTGGAATTTAAAATACACTACAGGGAATAAATAGTAGTCTTGAGGAAACAGAAGAATGGATCAGTGACCTGGAGAACAAAGTAGTGGAAAGAGATCTAGTTGAACAGGAGAAAGAAAAAAGACTAATAATGAGTACAGATTAAGGGAATTCAAAGACACCATCAAGTAATAATGTTGACATTAAAGGATCCCAGAAGGAAAAAAGAGAAAAAGGGAGGAAAATTTATTTGAAGAAATAGCAGCTGAAAACTTTCCAACCCTGGGGAAGGAAACACAAATCCAGACCCAGGAGGCACAGAGAGGGCACAAAACCAACCCAAGCAAGTCTACACCAAGACACATAGTAATTAAAATGGCAAAAAGCAGTGATAAAGAGAGAATTTTAAAAGCAGCAGGAGATGGGTACTTTGGTCGCTCAGTCAGGTAAGTGTCTGACTCTTGATTTCAGCTCGGATCATGATCTTGGGTGGGGAGTCCCTGGGACTGAGTCCTGTGTTGGCCACTGTGCTCAGCAGGGACTCTGCTGAAGATTCTCTCTCCCTCTGACCCTCCTCCTGTGCATGTTCTCTCTCTCTCTCTCTTTCTCTCACTCTCAAATAATAAATATTAAAAAAAAAAAAGCAGCAAGAGAAAGAAAACAGTTACATACAAGGGAAACCCCATGAAGCTCTCAACTGATGTTTGAGCAGAAACTAGGCAGGCCAGAGAAGAGTGGCATGATATATGTCCAAAGTGCCGAAAACAACAACAACAACAACAACAAACTGCAACCAAGCATACTCTATCCAGCAAGGCTATCACTCAGAACAGGAGAGGTAATGAGTTTCCCAAACAAAATTTAAAGGAATTCATGACCAATAACCAGCCTTACAAGAAATGTTAAAGGGGACTCTATGAGTAGAAAGACAAGCAGGAGTAAGAAAAGTAGGATGCGCAAAAGCACTACAATTAAGTATACCTATAAAAGTCAGTCAAGAAATTCACAAAAGTATGAAACTTTATAGCAAAAATACAGGTGGCAGAGGAGTAAAAACTTAGTGCTTTAAGATGGGGTTGAAACTTAAATGGCCAGCAATTTAATATAATGTGCTATATGCATAAGATGTTAGATATAAACCTAATGGTAATCACAAATCAAAAACCTGTAACAGATATGCAAAAAATAAAAAGAAATGAATCCAAGCATATAACCAAAGGAAACCAGCATGGAAAGAGCCCAAATGTCCATCGACCGACAAATGGATAAAGAAGATATGGTGTAAGACCTGTACCCCTGAAACAAATAATACATTATGTGTTAATTAAAAAAAAGAAGATATGGTGTATATATACACAATGGAATATTATTCAGTCATCAAAAAGAATGAAATCTTGTTATTTGCAATGACATGGATGGAGCTAGAGTGTGTTATGCTAAGTGAAATAAGCCAATCAGAGAAAGACAAATAAAATATGATTTCACTCATATGTGGAATTTAAGAAACAAAACAGATAAACATAGGGGAAGGGGGAAAAAAAGAAAGGGAAGCAAACCATAAGAGACTTAAATATATGGAACTGAGGATTGATGGAGGAGAGGCAGGCAAATAGGTGATGGGTATTAAGGAAGGCACTTGTGTTGAGCACTGGGTGTTGTATGTAAGTGATGAATTACTAAATTCTACTCTTGAAACCAATATTATATGTTAACTAAGTAGAATTTAAATAAAAATTTGGAAAAAATCACACACAGAAAACGATTTAAAGACCAAAAAAAGCCCAAAATAAAACAAATAAACAAACACAAATGTTAATCTCTTCCAGAGACACCCTCACAGACACATCCATAAATAAAGTTTGACTACTATTTGGACATCCCTTAGCCCAGTCAAGTTGACACATAAACTTAACCATCAAACTCTGTTGTAGCCATTAAGAAAACATTAAAAGTAGCCAATATTTGGGGGAGTCTTGTGCTTTCTATATCTGAGAAGAAATGCCCCTTTGTAGAATTCTTAAGGACATGTAGTAGGTAAGCTATGGGAGCGACCTTGAAAAGCTTACCAAACACTTCTTATCAGAAGGGTATAGATTTGTGTATATTAAGATTTGTACAGAATAAGATAAATGGGTAAATACTTCTTGAATGTCATAAGAGCCAAATATAGAATCCAATATTCTAAGCTTCCACTTTGATGAATT